CCCGTATCGGTACGTCGGCAAACTGGGGGACGCGTTGGGGAGGAGGGGGATCGGCTCCGTCGCCGCGTTGATGGGGTCGGAGTCGTGGCCACGAGGTCGCCATGTTCTGGTCGGGGCGGCTCCGGATCTTGGTTAGGGTCGTCGTGGACGTGTAAGCTTGCCCCRCTCGCAAACTCTAGTWCCCTTTTCCCGACCGCCGTTTCTTCTCTTTTGCGGGCCGCCTCCGGATCTTCAGCCTCCGTGCCCGTGCGCAGCGCTTCTTCCGGCGCAGCTTCCCACTCCGATTCCGTAGGTCCTTCTTCGTTCTCCTCTTCTCCTTCGTCGTCTTCTTCTTCTTCTTCGCTCTGCTCCCCCTGGCTATGCTGGCTATAGCTTCCTTCTTCRGGGGTTTTGTCCTCTTCCCCGAGTACTTCGTCGCTTTCCCCACTTTCTTCCCGCTCGTCTTCTCCTTCGTCACTCTCAGTGCTTTCTTCCTCCTCCTCTTCCTCTCGAATGGCAGCAAGCTGCTCTGCCGTTGGGTGCCTGAAGAAGGCAGGATCACAAACCGTCCGAGGATCCAAATACTGCTGATGCGACGGCGGGATGCGCTCTGCGGCTCCCTCCACACAAGCCGACCACTGGAGATATGGCGTCAACGTGCGAGAAAATACATGAGGAATCAGATGCTCGTCGTCTTGCGAGATGATGTCGAGAGGGAGATCGTCCGCGAGTTGTGCTACCGAGATCGCGAGCTCTTGCGCGATGAGTTCCTGATGTCCGGGCCGTACTGTGCCGAACAGAAACGCAAGGAGTTTTCCCTCCACATTGGTTCGGCAAGCCTGGATGAACAGCAACTCCAGGCGCTCTATGCAAGGCGGGCGCGCCTCGTCCTCGGCCCACGTCAGCCGTACCTCGACTTAGCACAGTGAAAGCTCGACGAAGTCTTCGCGCCACAGTTGTCAGTGTGGGGGATGAATGTCGGGGACAGCAAGGGTCGTTAGACAGTAGGAAAGGCGAGGATGAATATCGGACTGCCAGAAGGTGGGGAGGGTAGAGGGGAGATCAAAAACGGAGATCGAAGAGAGACTCATTGGGGGCGAGGGAAGGGAACAACAACAGGGAGAACCGTCAGCAGATCACGTTGGTACATCCGAAAGCCGTCGTATTTGATCGCTCGTGTCGGTGCGACCGTGTCTCCGGGGCGAGCCAGAAGCTGGGTCCACTCAGCGACCAGGTCGTTCGCCCACTCGCGTAGCGATGTCCTCACCACCGTATGTCGTAAAGGGAGGAGCGTGGAGAGATCGCCACGGAAGTTGATGACGACCGATATGCGGCTGACACCTGGCACCGCTCGCTGATGAACTGCTACTGCCTCGGCCAGTACCACTGCGTTGGGCCGACCCTCGATTTTGAACACCGCCGCTGCATACACGCCTCCCGTGCAGAAAAAGTGCRCAAGCCGCCAGAGATCTGGACTGAGATGGGGATGATAGACTTGCCGGATCATCAATCGATCACGGGGTGCAAGCGATGCTTCGCTGAGGGCTCTTTCCTCAAGAAAACTCATGGCGATGGCGATGGAGACGGAGAGGCAGAGAGGGAGCAAGAGGAAGAGGGGGATGGCGGAGAGTCAGAGTCGTCATCTTCGGCTTCCTCAGAAGGAGAGATTAAGGGAGACGGAGCAGAGGGGAGGAGGCGAAGATAGGACACGTGGCGTGTGATCGGACGAGCCGATCGACTGCTGGAGACTTCCGGAGCGAGATGCACGGTGTTTATGCCATTGGGGCCGAGCTCGATCACGCGATATCGCCCGAAGAATCGTGGCACTTGCTTCCCTTGGCGAGCACATTTCCTCACCTGCACCATGTCCCCCAATTTATACTGGGGCCGCGGACCCGCATTCCCATTTCGGGCCTCGTAGCTCCGGGTCTGTCGGCCTTGGGATAGTTCGGTCATTTTTTGTCGTTTTTGGGCCAGCTTGGGCAGTGACCGTTCCATTAGCTCTAGGTGCCGTTTGGCCTTGTCCTGAGCCGTGGCCCTGGTGGGCCGTCGGTTCAATGTAGACTCATCCGGGAGGCTTGGTATTGAAACGCAAGCGATACTATTGGTTCTTAATTGAAAGGGYTTAGCCCCGTCGATTCGTGATGGACCGCCAGAATGTGATCGACAATATCGGGCCAGGGTCTCGGATCCTGTGCCGCGATGTTTCGTCGCAATGCTGTCTTTATCATCCGGTTAGCGTTTTCGACCAGCCCATTGGATTGTGACATGTGGGTTGCAGTGTTCCGTATGGCGACGCCATGTATAACCAGATTCTTTAATACTTCTCCTCTGAATTCAGCCCCATTGTCGGTCAGGATTTCTTCGGTATCCTGATGCATCCCGAGGAAACGGTTGACGTATCGTGCGATTTCCGTGGCTTGCCGCGTGCGACAGGGATACGCTTCGATCCATTTCGAAAAATGGTCGACAAATACCAGTAGGACTGAATACTCGCAACTATTAGGGCCAAGGGGCACCACTATGTCGGTAGTGTTCATGCTTACTCTCTGAAATGGCCGTTCAACAACCGTGGGCACTATAGATCTTGGCGGCTGAATCGGCGCCTTATCAGCGGCGCAGACTTGGCAGTTGGCGACAATGTATTTCACATCGTCGCGGATATTGGACCAGTACCACTTATTTTTGTTGATAGCGGACTCCGTGATTCGTACGGCGAAATGAGCCGCAGTTTCTTCRTGCGCCGTCTTAACCCAGTCGTACCTCATGAACGGATGCGGCACCACCATCCAAATTCCGCTGCCGTCCGTTTTTCGTTTTTCTAATCTACCCTCTATCCATCGATAATCCCGAGCCCTCTCGTTGACCCTCCTCCGATCTTCCTTGGTGAAATCCTGGAGGGGGTTACCTACTAGGGTGGCGATTAAGGCAATGTTCGTCCATACTTCGGCCCTTCTAAACTTCCGTTTTTTTTTCCAATCCTTCTGACGTGGCATCCAAAAGGCGAGCCTCAGTCGGAATCTTATCGGTCCGGCACAAGGGGCACAACCACGGTTTACTATCGTTTCTGTATTGGATGCACGAGCCATGGGTTCGTGCGACACACTGTCGGCAATCGATCCAATCGGCATACCCCTCCCCGTTAGGACACATGGAAACCGAATAGACGTGGGAGATGGCTTCACAAAAATAGCAAAATTTGTCAGGCAGGGAGAGGAGAGACGAAGAGGAAGGAGGAGAGAGGGGGGTAGTGGGGTTACCTCCGTCACCCATCGCCGYCGTTTTACTTCTTGCCACGTGGGAGAACTGACATTTGTCCGTATCCTGGCTCGTTAGTCAGGTCTGGCTCTTTCCACGGTGTAATTTCCTCGTCCTTTGGTAGCTTGGCAGGTCGATGCAAACGTGTCAACCCGTCCGCGTTACCGTGTCGCTCTGTCTTTCGATGGACGATATCGAAGTCGTATTCTTGCAGCCGCACCGCCCAACGGCCAATCATGCCCGTGTAGGTGGTGAGTTTCTTCAGTGCCAGCAGAGGCTCGTGATCCGTTACGAGGCGAAACTTCTGTTCGTAGTGATACGGATGAAAGTGTTGGATTTCCCAAACTACCGCATAGCACTCGCCTTGAGGTGCGGAGTCGTTTTTACGTTCGTTTGGCACGGTTCGAGACGCGTACTCGATGATGTGTTCGAGCCCATCGTTCCCCTTCTGTGCTAAAATAGCGGAAATAGCTTCCCGTTGCCAGTCCGTGATGAGAATGAACTGCTTCGCGGGGTTCGGCCRAATTAAAATAGGGGTTGTTGCCAGAGTGTCTTTGAGGTGGAGGCAGAACGTGCAATTCATAAAGCTGATCCCAGATCCGAACGTCAATCTGTTTCGTATTCGTCTGTTTTGTCAAATCAGGTGGAGGCGCCGAGATGAATGAATGATCCGATCGCCAGGGAACACCGTGGCCATCATCTGAGCATCCTCTTCTCGGATTGCCACGTGTTCTTCCGGGGTAATCCCGTCACAAACATCCTGCCATGGCACTTCTTTAGTTGCGATCTTTATCCCCAGTTCGTCTGTTTCTGCTTCAAAACACCCAGGGGGTTCCAGAGAGCTTGCTTCCGCCCCCAAGCGTAGCAATCTCACTTCTTTGGTCGAGGTTAGTAAGGACTTGGGTAGATCCGTAATATCACAGTAATACTTTTTGTCGCTGTACCGGGCAAGGAGGGGGGTGGTTCCTTCGTACAGGGTTTGAGGGGGTTCCAAAGAATCGACCATCCTCGAAATCTGCACGAGGGGCTCACCCAAGATCATTGCCTTGGTTCTTTGAATGTTTCGGCTGGTCAGCTGCATTGTTCTTGCTATCGTTTTGGGCGGCGGGTAGTAAACGCGYTGTCGCGCTAATTTCAGGATCTCCGGATCATCTTCGTCACTGCTGTCCGTATCATTCGTTGATGACCTTTCGTYTGCGGATTCATCCCAGGAGATCATGCGGAGAGTCCCTGCCATCATYGGCAAAACCCGCGGAACCGTGTTAACAGTAGTGCGAAGGGTCAATCGCATGGGCACAGCGTAGGGTTTTCCGCCTGTATTTCGGAGAATGATCGAACGTCTCTCGAAATCCAGGTTCGCTCGTAACGCSACAAGAGCGGGAAGTCCRAAAAGAACGTCGTACGTATTAACATCTAGGACTACGACATCCCCAAGCGCGTGCACTTTGCCCAATCGGAAAGCGACATTGGTCATTCTTCCCACGGTYTTAATCTTTTCTTCGTYCGCCRAAACGAGCTGATCTTTCTCAGAAAGCATGATCAAGTCGTTTCTCCTTCCTGCCCGTTCGACYWGTCTTAGTGAAATSGCCAACACAGCCGCTCCCGAATCTATAATTGCRTTGCAAGGGATTCCCCAAATTTTWATGTCACATTYTGCGGATTTCCACGGAATTGGTTTAATCCGCAAGAAATGATCATCTTTCTTAATTAAACTTACCCGTATTGGATCCGGGGTGCCTGTTGGGTTTTCTTCTGGCGCGAGGCCTTTAGCTTTTGCATTCGGTGTTCGGGCAAGGGCGAATCGTTTTCTGTTTGCCTTGCAATGCTGTAGCATTCGCTCGTTGGCTTGCTCGGAGATCGAGAGTMGGTGACCAATCGGAAGGGGAATCCGATGATCCAAGGCTCGGACGATGTTTAATACATCGATTTCCCCTGTGACGAAGGTGGGTCCCCCCGACTCCATTTCTCCTAGGGACGGTCGCCACTCCGCCACCTCTTTTGGTTCTGGCGCTGGTCTTATTATTCCGGTCATTCCCAGTCCCGGATATCCGAGCGATACGTACTGATCTAGCGGGATTAGCTCGGTGGCTTCTTCCGTGGTGGCCACGRCACTTCCTCCACCCTCTACTTCTTCCATCAAAGCTCCGACTCGTCCAGGTCCGTTGGCGATGGGAGCCGCAGCCATAGGCRCGACTCCGATCCGCTGTTGTGGGGGTCRGTGAGGGCAGTCTCGGGCCAAATGCCCTGGCTGATGGCARGCATAACAAATATTTAGATTATTGGCGGCTCCTCCGAGCGCAGGTGSGGGGGTTACCCCTTGTTGTATCGGAGGAGCACGTACCGCAATGGGCYGCATGTTCCTCATCATGGCTTCCAGCCGAGCATTGTGCTCTCGCTGCTCCTTCTTACTTTCCTGAATCAAACTAATCAAGGTTTTGGTTAGTTCGAAAATGGCCACTGATTCGTTCGTTCGTGCAGGAGCCTCAACTAACGGCAGGGGTAACGCCCTTGCGGGTGGAGGCATTACAGGAGCGGATGTGCTTGGGACTTCGCTWAGGGCCACTCGCTTGGGGCCTATCTGTTCCATATAGGTAACAGGTCCTGATACAAACCCCATGTTTTCAAACTTGTTCTGCAGTGCAGCTAACTCAGCTCTCGCTCGTGTGAGCTCAGTCGAATCTCCTTCTTTAGGATAGTCTTCCCCTTCCAGGAAGTTCGCTGCGAACTTTCGTTCCATTTCTTCCCCGGTAGCCATGATTTGTTGTAGCGTGTGAGTGATGGGGGAAAATTGTAACTTAGTCCTTATTGTTTGACTGCGAAGCGCATCAATGAACAGGTCTCTTCCTACTTGTTCACCTCGCTCAGTTTCAACGAACATTCGGTAGAACCGGTTCCGATATTCTGCGACGGATTCGAGAGGTTTTTGCACTCGGTCCTTGATCATATACAGTGCTTGCTCGGGGTGGAAGTAGTCAAATCGATTCATGAAATCCCGCTCAAAGGTCGGGAGATCAACCCACACATAGGTGCTAAACCAATGATGAGCGTCTCCCCCCAATCGGACGGGAATATTGATCTGAGCTTCATGGTCAGTATACTGTTGGGCTCTAAGTGTGGCCAGCCATGCTCCTGGGAGATGGTGTGTGGGATCAAAGAGATAAGGATTTGGTGGCGTCATGGGAGCTCGTGCACGTGGGGCGGGTTGATTTGGGGGACTAGCATTTTGTTGTGGGACCAAGTTTGGCACATTGGCAGCCATATTGGTTGCTCGTTGGTTAGCCGATCTGCTTCGGGTGACGATAGGGTCGCGTCTATACGTGTTCCGAGGGGGAGGTCGCCCACGGTTAGCCAGATCGCCAATTTAACGTGTTATCAATCCTAAGACCCTAGCCACGTGTCGGGCTCCGATACCAACCTCACGCCCGGCGTGACTTCCTGATCGGGGTGGAGTGTGGGCCTGGAAGTGTGAAAAGGGGTGTGCCAAGGATTTTTGGGGAAAGTGGGGGAGTCTTAAGGATATGAATGTAATTAGGCGGACGAGGGATGCGTGCGCGAGGAGCTCACGGTTCGATCGGGCCTGGGCAGTGAGGGTGGCGGTTGACGGGAAAGTTCCTCCGCGGCGGAGGCGGTCCCGAAAAGTTAGGCCGTCGGGGTGCGCCACGCGCCGCGCGCCTCCGCGTATTTGGATGGGGCCTTCAGAGTTCTGGAGTTCTCTGTTCGCTGCTACGGCGGCAATTTGCGCAAAACGTACTGGGCCAATAGGGGGCTATGGCCGGCCAAGGAACGACGCTGAGTTGATGGTATGGAAGAAGAAGGCGGAAAGGAGGGAAACTGGTGGTGATCTCAACAAATCCCGGATGGGTGAAGTAGTAGGTACGGTCGGGGGAAGGGAAATMAGAGCACCGCGGGTCGCAAGTGGTGGCACAGTGGAATTCCCRCGGACATAATCGATTCTCCGTGTGATAGGGGTATCGTGTCCTTATGAGCTCGTTTATTATAGRGGTGAAATAGTCCGGGTCATAGGATGAGTCTGAGCCCCAAGATCGCGTCATGGTGTCATCGTAGGWGGGATGGCGCGGGTCGGGATCTCGTCACCGCGASTCCYGTCTGGGCGGGAGAATCGCCRCACGGGAATRYGTGTAAGGGCGCGACTTGGAYCGCGTTTACACRTGTTCTCGCRTGGCGTTTACGGGGCCAGATTTCGAGTCACTGATCATGCAAGATGCAACCATATCACAACCTCATCGTGAGGTAAGCAAAAACGAGACTAAAATCAC